GTGAAATGTGAAGCTGTTATGTACTAATTACCCTAAAATTAATCATTAAATTTGAAGTTAACTTTTTAACAAAATTTTTAAGTTTTTTCTAACAAATACTTGTGTTTGGGTCCTTTTTATTTTAAAATGAGTTTTGTAATAGTAAATTGTTTTAAAAAGATGTGTAATTAAAAAGTGTGAATTTTTTTTGGATTCACGTATAAATTTGTTTTATTGAAATAATGTGTAGTTGAAAATGAATATTTATAGAAAGGGGCTCAAACAAAAGCTTAATATTGATATTTCTTTCTTTCGAGCCTATTGCAAATTTGCCGAATCAGAAGTAGTTATAACCATTTTTGCATTAATGCATGTCCAAATATGTTTCAAATATTGCCTAGTCGAGTTAATTATATTGAATTTTTCTTTCAATTTAAGTAATATTGTGTAAATATATTATTTTTAAAGTGTTATAACTAAAAATAAAAGAACATTTTTGCAAATTTATTTAATCAAAGAAATTTTTGTGATAAATAAATTAATAAAATATGAAGTGCTCGTTTGTTAAAGATTAAAATCGAATTAAAATTAAAAATATAACTGTTATTGAGTCTCACTCGTCTAATAAAAGTCAATAATAACGGCTAGTTTTTCAATTTTAATCATATTTTAATCTCTACCGAACACGCCCGAAAATTAAATCCTAACCAGAACTCCCATTAAGAATTAAAAGTAAAAAATAAATAATTATCAATTAGTAATTTGATAGGAAAAAATTAAATGATATCTTATCTTTTACTAAATTATATAAAAATAGAATATGTACGAAGAATAAATTTTATGAGTGAACCACCGGTGACTAAGTATCGACGATGATTCCTAGTAGCATCATCAATGACATTGTCATAATTAATCCCTACAAAAGCGTACCTCAAATCATTTTATTGCTCTTCGTAATTCTGTTTGAATCACCAACAAATATTAATTTCAATTAGTATCATTAATATTCATATTGTCGACATCACCAACAAAATTACCGTCAATGATCATTTGCTCTATTAATTTATTATTATTATTCTCATGAAGGCCAAGGAAGTTTAACCTAAATTGTGCCCACCTGCTATTGATTTTTTATTTTTATTTTTAAATCAAGGACCTTAACCTTTGATGACAATGTTGACCGACACGATCATATCTTCTATATATTAAAAGTGGCTATGTAACGGAATTTCTTGTTTTTGACGGAAAAACTAACGGAATTTGTTGTTTTAACGGACTATGTAACGGAATTTCTTATTTTAAACAGGCAGCCTGCACCTTATTTTAGTAATTTTTATCATAACTTTGTATTCCGATATCCAATTGAGGCGATTCAAAATGAGTTGGAAAGCTAACTCATCTGGCTACAACTTTGATTCAGACATCATTCTCCAATTCGATCACTTTCTATGCCAAAAATAGGTCTCAATATGAGACTAAAATATCGGAGCATAACTTTTCGGTTGGAAATTGATTTGTGATCATCTTTTGCCTAAATTTGATTCCATTGACGTCTTCATTTATCTAATTGACTCCGAGCACTCTCAAATCTTCATCGTGAGGTTCGACATAACTTTTAAGTATTTACATTTTAGTCCCTGAACTTTAGATTCCTTACAATTTAGCCATTTCTCAAAATTTGTCAACTTTTGCTTATTTTCTTCGAGCTCACCAACTTACATCACAATATCAAAATCACATATTTAATTATTTATCAATTACATAAACATTACATCATTAATTATTTAATTAACCAAAAAAATTACATCTTTATTAATAACAAATTAATTCTTAAATAAAACTATTAAATATAACCTTACATCATTAATTATTTAATTAACAAAAAAATTACATCTTTATTAATAACAAATTGACTCTTAAATAAAACTATTAAATATAAACTACGCAAACGTGCATTGCACGTTGCTTGCACCTAATAAAATATAAAAATATGTAAAGAGTCTGTTCAATTTAATTTATAATCATATAAAATGGGACTTCTAAATTTGGTTGTGTCAAAACAAAATAGGGTCGGAACAAATTCCAGCAATAAGAACATTAATTGACGATAGATGACACTAGACATGATACCATTCGATAACAAACCATTAGTTGTACAAATACATTACACACTTACATTCGTGCACGTGTGGCTGATTGGGCCGTAAAAGAGTCGAAATAAGCCCGACTTCTTTTGTAGAAGCAGCTAGGCCAGACGTGCTCTAACTTTAGAGGAAATTACACCCTATTTTGCTTTTAGATTTCCACTTTCAAAAATCATATCACGAGTTTTACTTTTCAAAAATCAGGTTTTAATATTTAATTTAATATTAATTATATTATTTTCATCCCAATTAAAATAAATCAACCCTAAAATTCATTCTAACCTCCCATCCAAATCCAATTCATTTTCCCCGCCCCGCCCTCTTTCTCTCTACCTCCGACCTCCCTCCGTCGGTCCCACCCACCCATCTATGGATACTTATGCCGGAGACTACAGACATCTTACCACTACCATCGAAGAGTCGTCGCCGCTGTAGAAGTGCACACAGTCGTGCGATGTAGTTTTTGCCACAGTTACAGAGATCTTGCCTCACCGCTGCCATCGTTTTCCTCCGGCAACTTCACCGATCCAACCACAAACCATGTCACGGAAGCCATTAACATTTCCACCGCCAACCATGGTCATATTTCCAATCAGTCCGCCGGCTTTGCCTCTCTTCGCAGATCCATCGTCTTTCTCCCTTTTTTTTTTCAAATTGAGTGGTGTGGTGGAGGTTGTGCGATGGTTGAGTTCATGCAGATCTGTTTTTGCGATGGGTGAGATGAAATGTGTCCGTGAGTGCTGTGGCAGTTGCGATTGGGTGTGTATGAGGGTACGGTGATGGTGGAGGTTTGGATTGCGGTTACAGTGCGTAACAGTATGTTGGGGGCGGTAGTGATAGTGCGGTTGGGTGTCAGTGCGTGAGGTGGCGGTGCGATGGTTGTGTGTTGTGATTGTTTTGGCAGTGTTCTAGGTTGTTTTGGCGATGCGTGTGGTGGTGGTGGTTTTCTGGTGGTAATAGTGGTGCTGGGAGGGTGTGACGTTGGCTTTGAGACGTTGATGCTGCTATGGGACGATGACTGTGGTGATGCTCCTGTTGGGGACAGTGGCGAATTGGTGGTCACAAATGATTTGATGGTGGTCACCAATAATTTGGTTGGTTTGTGACCAATGAATTAAATAACTGTGACCAATACATGTCGTGTGACCTACAAATTATTAATTTGTGGCCAATTATTTGATAAATTGTGACCTAAATATAATTTATGTTCAATAAATGTGACGTTTGTGACCATAAAATAAATAATGTGGTTTATAAATTTTGTGATTTGTGACCGATTAATAAATTGTGATTTTTAAATTTTTAAGTTGTGACCGATGAACGAATTGCGACCTACGAAAATTTTGAATTGTGACCTAAAAAATTTTGAATTGTGACCAAATTGTATAGATCTGTGACCTTAACATATTCGCCGGAATCGGATCAGTCGTCGGAACGGTCGCTGAAAAAGAGTGGTGACCGGAACGATCGCTGAAATAGTCCCGGGGTTATAGTGGTGATGGAGGTGGGGGTGGGTTAATTATTTTATAGTTGAATTAAATATTAATAATAAATTAATTTAATAATAATTATTTCATAATTAAAATTTTAAAGAAACCTGATTTTTGAAATTTAGAACATGTTTTGATATTTTGAAATATGTAAAAGTAAACACCTTATTTATGTATTCTTCCTCTAACTTTAACTCGGGATTTAAATTTCAGCCCAAAATGGCACACCGGTGGATGGAATCCACGAGTCTCCTTGGATGAAATTCTTCACTGTAAACGGACTGGCCTCCTGGGGATCCTTCAGCACATGAAAACCAGACCATTTCACTCTATTTTCTGTTGAAGCCCCAATTCCTGTATTCATATACTCTGCATAATATAATGTTGAAAGGGCAAAATCTCCCGTCCATTCTTTCCACCCTTTTCGATCAATTAACCCATCTAAATCCGTCTTCAAGAAAACAGCCCTCGAGTATTTCTTCCACGGCCGTCCTAGATAATTCTTGAACCTACCTTTAACAGCACGAAAATCAGATGCAGGCGCCACCCGAGAATTGAGGATTGAAATTCCCGTGTTTTCATTTGGATCATCCCTTCCCTGTGCAGTAATCATGTTGGATTGGTGGTCCATTGGCCTTCTTACAAAGATGTCACAATTTTGCAAAACTGTTGCTGCATCTCCGAAGATGAAATCAATGGTACCGTATATTTGGCAATCGCGATAAAATTGCCTCAGTGAGTGCACCAGAAGAGTATCCTGGTAACCCTTGAAGCTGCAGCGATAAAAGACCGATAGGTCAGAGGCTACCATCAGTGCCACTGCCTGATGTTTCTGTGGGCCTGCCGTATTCTCAAATGTCATGTCTCTCGCCCAAAAGCCATCACCAGATATAACAAATGTGGCAGAGCTTAAAGTGCTCGAACCATCTTGTACATTTTGGTTCCCTGTGACGATGGTTTTATCAATGCCATCTCCAACAAACATCACATTCTTTAAGTCCCTTCCTACATCGACTTTCTCATGGTACACCCCAGATTTCACGTATACAACGGTTCTTTCGGGCTGGTTGGTGTGCATTCTAGCAAGTGCAGCCATAGCTTCATTAATTGTCTTGTAATTCCCTGAGCCATCCTGAGCAACTACAAGATCAGCCTTTGAGGTTGCTGCATTCCATGATGCTAAAGTCCCCCCAACTTGGTCAGTTTTAGGCCTCTTCTGAAACCCTAAATTATATACAGAAAAAGAATAAATATGAAGTGCCAAACAGCGTGTCTTTGATTTATTAATTGTAATGCAATTCATAATTACATCTCAAGATTAATTTCATGGGTTAATCTATGACTGTACCAAAGTACCTAAATTGCAAGGACGTTTGGCTAAGCTTGAAAAGTTTACGTAGAATGAATTAATTTATATTCAAATAAATAAGGTTTGCAATAAGAAATCTCTGTGTTGATTTTGTGCTTAAAATAAAAAAATTACAATTAAATATACTATAAGTTACTTATTTGACACCAAGAGTAATTTTCAAAATTGATTACTCTTTATTAAATAGCAAAGTAATTTATATAAACATCTTCGAATAAAGATTTTCACTTAAGTGAAAACGGCTGAATATACTATAAGTTACTTATTTGATGCTAAAGAGTAGATTTCAAAATTGACCACTTTTTAGCAAAAAGAAGATTTACCAAACAAGTCCTTATTTGTATTAACAAAAAAAATGCAAGCTTGGGGAACATTAGACCTAACCTCCAAACAATGTAGATGCAATATGAAAAAATCATTCAGTCTAGAGGACAGGAGCTAAAGCACCCAGAAAAGTTAATTATCTCGTGTAACCTAATCATACTTCTTGTTATAATATGATTAGTATCTTGTTAGCTTATAAGCTCATTGTCACTCCGCCCTCATCAAAGTTATCAATGCCTATCCATAACCCTTTTTGGCAATTCTAATTCATCATCAATATTGTATGTAACCAACAGCATCACTCGCGAAACAAAGGTGCCAAGACGTAGAAATATAAAGTATAAACATGTAAATTTACAGAGGTTCACCATTTTGTTGTCCCCTTGCGTGGCTTCCGTGCCGGTGAACTGCCAAAGCTCCCCGAAGCGCCGCCGTCAAGTTCTCTGCCACTCCATCGTCAAACCGCCACCGCATTTCTTTCAACCCATCCAAGCAACTGTTGTGGCTAGCCAACACAGCACTTAGCCAAGTAACTGCATCATCTTGGGTGCAACTACAACTCTCACCAGACATTAACATGGCCAGCCTCGGCTCAGCATCTTCGTACAGTTTCACACAGTCACTTATAGCCACACCAATAGAACTCGAATGACTGCCCGATCCATGAAGCAACTTCAAACCCTGAGCCCATTCTATTGCATGCAGAACCCCCGAATGGGCCATTTGAACCGTCTCAAGCTCTTTTGTGCAAGAAATGGCATTTGCAGTGGCCAAAAATAGCAGAAGACGAAGAAAATTGGCCAAAGAAGAAGTAGACATTTCTGTTGAACAAATTTAGAGAACTTAATGAAGGGATTCGGATTTTGGGAACATTTAATGTTGTCTGTATGTGTGTGTGTATTTTTTGAAGAAGGTTACAAATAGACAAGTTGTAGCCATGTGTCACTGAAAGGATTGTCAATGTTATCTGCATGAAATGCATAGCATTTTGCTCAAACAGTGACAACTAGCACCATTGTTCATATCATCACCGACTGGATTTTTAAAACTTTTTCTGTTTCTTGAGCATGTTTGGCTAAGCTAAACAAAACTAAAATCACTTTTAATTAATTTTAAAATTTTAAATGTTTAAGTAACTTATTTCAAGAATAAACCTTTATTTGCTGTCAAAACAAATAAAACGCGATGTCCAAAGTAACGACATAAATTCATTGAAATAGAATTACTTAATTTGTTAACACATAATTATGAATTATCGTGTAGAAATTATATCTTAGGAAAAGCACATACCAAGTTCAGTTTCGAAGAAAATAAAATCCGATCCCAAACTTTGATGTAAAAAAAAAAAAGAAGAATCCGAACTTTTATTCATGTAATTTTGAGTAAATTATAGCTTAAGAAGTGATAAAATGACATAAATTATACTTGAAGAAGTCAAATGACATCTAATCACTTGTAATAATGTGTGACTTGACACACACAGTTGACTAACAAATGCTTAGAATAAACAATAACAATAAGAAATCAATTGACTAAGTAAATTACAATTTTAAAACACAGAAAGCGTGACATAATTAAAAAATTAAAGATGTAAAATCATATTCTCATATTGTATAATTTCTCATCTTAGGAAAACCTTAATATTATAAAACTATGCAATTAACGTTCATTTCAATAGCGAGTACTGGTCCCCGCGATGCATGTAAGGGCTATCAACATCGAAGAAAGTAGATGAAATTGGCCAAGTTGACTATTCGAATTGACCACCTCGGGAAGGTGGGGCATCAACCATTAGTCCTCTTATTCGGAAAACACTCTTTTCTGTCCGTAAAAAATTTTCAATGGAACTCGAGCAATGTTATGAACCATACGAAACAAAAACTCATGCAACTCTAAAATATGAAGATAGATTGAAGAGTTACCAAAAAAAGGATTTTAGACTAAAACCTAAAACAATCTTTACCTTCTGACCTTTAAGAAACTGCATTGGTTCATACTTCGACCGAGGCATTTGAGGCTAGTAGCATTAGAAGACATAAATCATTATAAACGGCAGCCAAGCAAACATCATAAAAGGTACAGTCAAGCACTAGTCGAGTACATCAAGGACAAATACCTTAAGCACTTTGTGCTCACAATGAAAAAGAAAAGAAGCTGCCCACGGGCATATCGCAGTGGTAAAGCATGATGGTTCTCTACGGAGTATCGAATGTTCGAATTCTCACGGCAGCTAGAAGGCAACATTTATGTTGGAAGGAGAAACTAGGCTTCTAAATTTTTTTAATATCTATGTTTATATTATTTTTAGAACACTGCTAGGTGCACCGGGAAAGAGCTGCCAAGCCTTTTACATGGAGCACTCAGCAGTTTTTGACTGGGAGTTGGAAAAAAAAAAAGCCACCAGTAGTTATTCCTCTGTAAAGGGGAATCACTCTTAATTCGTATCTTAATATCGTTATACCTATATAAGCTCATATGGAGCATGTTTGATTAAGCTTAAAAGGGGTTTAACCGAACATGCTTGTTTCTTCTCGTGTTTTTGAATATGCCCTTCGAATATTTCGACAAAAAATGATATGTTAAATATATAAATACGTCCATACTCGATATTTTATTAAGTTAATGATATTCGATCTACTTTCTTTACGGTGTTCACCTTTTTCGCTGCGTCACTAGGTTGGACCCGACCTGTATACCCATACCTATGTAAACTAGTTGAATTTCGTATAAGAGAAGAAACCACGGTACATGTGGTACTTATTATCGAACTAGACTGCCTTAATGCTAAACTACATATACATCTTAGTTACATGACAATTGTGTCATGCATTTAATTTTTAGTGCAGTCCAAATTTAACGTGGTTACAGAATAGAGACACGTGATAATGAAGCACATTGCTTTCTTCCGTTGATAGGGATTAAAATCGGATTTTTCAAAGATTTTGATAAAAGTTGGTAGGTGCTAAGTCGAGAAGAATATGGTATTTAATTTTTAAAACAAGAAACTACCGGAGACAATTATCTACATCATAGGCACAGCAAGATTCAAGTCGGTTCATTAAAACTGACTTTAAATAAGAAATTAATTTGAAGAAGAAAAATAAAACTTTGGCCCATGGGTTTGAAATTGTTTCCACCACGACATAATTAATTAGAATAGCCTGACCTAATATTTCTCTTCTTCTCTATTCTCAGGTCAACTCTCTCTACTTTATTTACATTTATAAACAGAATTGTAACCTGCATGATGATCACCTTTTATTCAATCAGAAACTATTGAAGAATTAAACAAAAATCTCTCAGAAACACTAGCAATGGCATTTGTCATTCTAACGCTTGTTGTTGCATCCTTCTTTATGTCACCAGCCATTTCTGGCAATTCTCGGGCTGGGATTAAGGCATGGTGTGCTCGAACCCCATATCCACAGCCATGTGAGCACTTCATGGATCGTAACCCTAAATATGGATTTCCTATCAAGGGAAAATTCGATTTCTTCAAGATGTCTATGCAATTAGCCTTAGACATTGCCACGCATGCCCAAGTTAACGCGTATTCTCTAAGCGCAAAATGTCGTAATGCTAAGGAAAAGGCTGCATGGGCCGATTGTCTAGAACTATATGAAAATACAATTATGAAAATCAACAAGACTATTGATCCTAGTACTTCGATCGACATGCAAACATGGCTAAGCACGGCCTTAACCAATTTCGAGACGTGCGAAAGAGGGTTTATTGATTTTGGGGTCAAAGATTATGTATTGCCTTTAATGTCAAATAATGTTACTAAATTAATTAGTAACACACTATATTTGAATAAAGTGTCATATGAGGAGCCAGGTTACAAAGAAGGATTCCCAACATGGGTGTCACCGGCTGACCGGAAACTTCTACAGTCAGCAACTCCTTGGGCGAATATTGTGGTGGCGCAAGACGGCTCCGGGAACTATAAGAAGGTGAATGAAGCCATCGCCGCAGCAGAAAGGCGGTCGGGAAGTGGAAGGTACGTGATATATGTGAAGCAAGGGACTTACAGTGAGAACGTAGATATTGGAAGCGGTTTAAAGAACATTATGGTGGTTGGGGATGGTATTGGGAAGACTATTATCACAGGGAGCAAGAGCGTCGGGGGAGGCACCACCACCTTCAAATCCGCCACAGTTGGTAAGTAAAAGAATTGATAAAAGTAATTTTGAAACGTTAAAGGCCTGAACACTGTTGCACATAGAATTTTTTTATCAACCTATAGCATAGAACTAACATGCAACTTGAAATATTGAAATTGTTGAACAAATTAAGCGTAAATGATGTTTGGATACAATTAATAATTTTCCAAAAGAAGGCAGTTTAATATTTAAAAAAATAAATTGGGTCAGAGTTAATTTCTTGTCAAATAGTCCTAGATCATATAAAGTGTACCCTGGAATTTGTCAAAGATTATTTCCTGACAACTAATTATGAATAAATATCAAACGCGTTAAGGAACAAGTGTCAGTTTTGAAGAAGCATTAAGGTCAACTGTATAGGAAGAATAATTCCATAGGCACACGGAATTATTGACAGAAAGTGATATATGTGTTGTATTGGCAGCATCTGTTTGATGCATTTTCTGTGTTTGTTGCGTCAAAAATCAATGAAAAACTGTCAAGTGTCTCTCTGTAAGAATTCTATCAAATTTTTTCCGTGTAGCAAAACTGGTATAATAAACAGCTACATGATTGTTCATACATACATATGCATACATCGCACGATTTTGCACAAGCATATATGTGTGTATTCCAGGTGTCACATGTTAATATTTGTTTGATAAAGCTTTTCATAAAATTTAATCAACTTTTTAACTCTTCAAGATTCAATTTTAATATGAAATCCACAATTTTTGTCAACTCTTCAACCACAAATCACATCAACTTTTATCAAAATCTACGTACTAACATGTTACATATATTGTTGAGAAAAGTGGACGAAGAACAAGAAAAGAAAACCAACAACAAGAATTTTGCCAAACTAAAAGATTTGAACGCGATTATGAATCGCCGTCCTCAAACGATATTTGCTGCCACATGGATAAATGCTTGAAGGTTTCAACGGCAAATAGTTTGCAGGAATAAACAAATCTTAATCTAAGTTTGAATCAAACAAAAAAAAACTTGAAAAATGAACTTTGAAGAACAATATAAAAAACTATGTTTGATCTTTAATTTTGGATGTTGATGAATGAATTTGAAATTTGTGATATATTTTCAGTCTTGAAAACCATCCATATATATAGTACTACAATTACCAAGCTCGACAATGTGCAAAAATCAAGCCAAAAGAGTGTGAAACCTTTCAAAACGATACCAAAAATTCATACACGATGGTCAAATTTTTTTGTACTGGGTGATCGTCCAATACAAAACCGGGCTTCCGCCCGGTTCATTAAACACAAGGCCGGGTGACCACCCTGCCTTAAGCGTGGGTGGTTTATGCCATTTTTCGGCCTTCATCATTTTTTATTTTCATTTTATTTTTGTTTGTTTTTCTCATAGTTGACCACTTTCATTACTTCCAAAGTCACTCCGCATTGTCAATTTGAACATTATTCAACAAATATGATATTCAGCTGTCGTTGGAGATGGATTTATTGCTCGAGGCATTACATTTAGGAACACAGCCGGGCCCAAAAACCACCAGGCTGTGGCACTCCGATCTGGATCCGATTTCTCAGTATTCTACCAGTGCAGTTTCGAGGGATACCAAGACACTCTTTATGTCCACTCGGAGAGACAATTCTACAGAGAATGTGACATTTATGGAACAGTAGATTTCATTTTCGGCAATGCTGCTGTGGTGTTGCAAAACTGCAACATCTACGCAAGAAAGCCTCCAAATTGGACTAACACTATAACTGCACAAGGCAGGACCGACCCGAACCAAAACACCGGCATCTCCATTCACAACTGCAGGGTTACGGCAGCTTCGGATTTGAAACCGGTTCAAAGTTCCGTGAAAACATATCTGGGTCGACCCTGGCAGAAATATTCTCGTACTGTTTTCATGAAGACTTTCTTGGATAGCTTGATTGACCCGGCAGGTTGGATGCCTTGGAGTGGAAACTTTGCTTTAGATACGCTGTACTATGGTGAGTACATGAATACGGGCGCTGGATCCTCCACTTCCAGGCGGGTTAAATGGAAGGGTTATCGGGTTATCACCAGTGCTAGTGAAGCTTCAAGATTCACACCTGGTAACTTCATTGCTGCAAATTCTTGGTTGCCAGGAACCAAAGTGCCTTTTACGTCTGGTCTTTGATTTTATTTAATTTTTAATTTTCATGGATTTCATTAATCAGGTTAGTTAATTGTATTAGAGAAGTTTAAGTTTGTTGACTCGAGATTTGAGTGGTTATTATTAATCTTGTTATTTGTAGCTTGCTATAAAATGAAAGAAAATTCCTCTATGAGGTCAACAAAAGTTTTTTTTTTTTTTTGAATTTAGTTCCCACACTCGTTTTCAATAGTGTTCTAAATAGCGCGCTTAGCACAGCCAAGACGCGATCTATGCGTCTTTTTAGGTTTTAGCATTTCTATACTTCAACCAATCATAAAAAATGAAATGAAATACATCGCACATGAAGATGTCAGACGCACAAACGCATAATGCAAGTAATTCAACTCATATAATGCAAGCATATTAATTGCACCTTGTGATTGTGCTTCAATATTACAGTTACAAAAGAAACTAGGGAAAGTTTCTCTCACAGTAGATTTAGTATTTTTATTGGGTTATATAGTAATTTATGTTTATAAATTAGTATAGTAGTATAAAATGAAATATTTTGTATTTGTAAGGTATATATGATTTTTCCCATAAATTTTTCAACTTTTAGGCCAATAGATTGAAAGACCCAAAAACTTGCTAACCCGTTTATTGGTCCACCATTGTAGAGACGTCATATTTATTTATAAAGTATTTTAATAGGTTAAGGATTCTCCAAAATCCTCTCGTGATTCTCAACAATCCTCTCCTTGTTTTTAGTAGTTGATCCACCATCGTGTTGTGGATGTTGGAATTTGAACACCAAATATTCTCTCTTCGATTGCTAGATTTTGTTAAGAATTATACTATTCATCCTCCAGTGAGGTTGTAACTCCAGTTTATGTGTCTCTAAATGATAGACTAAGTGAAATGTGAAATTAAATGACTTATTTAATTTCACCAATCATTTAATGTCACATTAACGTCATCTAGACTGTGATTGTAACCCCAATGTGGCTAAGTAGCATTACTATTTTGTTAATAATACAAGTTGCTATATCGCATCCCACAGGCCAATGACAGCTATATAAATATCGTTAGCTATTTAGAGTTGACTTAATTAATTAATCGCCAGTAAGACAAAACTAAGGATATTTTGATTGGAGGAGATCTTTTGGCTGGTCAATGACAGCTTCTTAAACTATATAAATATGAAAATGCTACTTGTACATTAGGAGTACATAAAAGTGTCCATAATGGACACCCGACACCTCTCCATTGAATAAAGTGCTGACCCCACTTGCACTTCATCCAATGGGGAGGTGCCGGGTGTCCATTATGGACACCCTTATGTACACCCTAATGTACAAGTAGCATTTTCCTTTATTAAAATAAATGTAGAATACCAAGTGTGATGAACAAGTAGTTAAATTTCATGAAAGGTGTGATTAAAATTAATATTTAACTTTGACTATCAAATTATAAAGAAATTATAATGTTTCCTAAGTATGCACTCCCGACTCCCTTTCCATCCTCCACAATATCACAACCCATATCACCGCAGATTTGATTGTCCATGGCAAAATCATGTCAAGCTCGACATATTGAAAAAAGGCTGCGGCCACAGCCCAAGCAGCCGACATACTTGTAAATGTCATCGCCGATTGTGGCAAAAAGCACGTGCTGTCAGCATGCTTCGACATCTATGTGCTCTTGGTGTTNCACCTAATAAAACCGGCTTATTAGGGGAGGATTGCCCTCGCCTTATAAAGTGGATTATTTATATTTTCCCAAACAATGTGGGATTCTACTAAATATCCTTAGCTATTTAGAGTTGACTTAATTAATTAATCGCCAGTAAGACAAAAAATGAGGATATTTTGATTGGAGGAGATCTTTTAGCTGGTCAATGACACCTTCTTAAGCTATATAAATAGAAAAATGCTATTCATCCCCAGTGGAGATGCATCCTCAATTTATGTGGATGTAAATGATTGGTTAAATGATATGTGAAATTAGATGACTTTTTAGAGTTGACTTTTTAAATTAGTCGTAGACAAAACTGAGGATATTTGGAGGGAGAAGATCTTTTAGCTTCCTTATTCGATATTTTCTTAGCCCTGTTTGATATAAATTCTTTCAAAATGCATTTTTAACTGTACATTGTTCAATAAAATAATATTTTTCATTAAATCAATAATTTTTCCTTATTTTTTAACTACATATTTCTCATCATATTACTATTTAAAATACATTATTTCCTCAATAATATCCATCAAACACACAGATTAAACATCGTTCATGAATTCTATAATAACTACATATTTCTCATCATATTACTATTTAAAATACATTATTTCCTCAATAATATCCATCAAACACACCGATTAAACATCGTTCATGAATTCTATAAATCTCAATGATAGAATGAAGAGTGACTTCTGTTTATTGGAGGTTCATTTTATAGGAATGGTAGAATAAACACAGAGAAGAATGTAATGTGATTATATAGAGCATTTTCATCAATTATAAGGTTAATAATTTTTTTTTATCATATGTTCACTCTCTTCGTTAACGCTTATCGATTGTTTATATTTTCTGCGTCAAAAATCAAATCACAAGTTTGGACAAAAATTTGGAAAAATAGATTTTGTAATATTAATATTTTAGAGAATGTGCGGTTAAAAGTAGGAAAAGTTTTAAGTTTGCGTGTAAAAATATTTTATTGAGAAAATGTGTGGATGAAAAATGATTTTGCAAAAAATAAAAAATAAAAATGAAGTATTTAGAGAATGGAGCTCAAACAAGAGCTAAGGAAGGTGAAGCTTTTAAATCATTGATGTTTGGAATCTAGCCAAGACTCTTTGTTTACCAAAATATGTACACTCGACACTATTTTCGTACCACTTTGTCCATCAAAATCTTTAGGATATTCAACGAAACAATGTGTATATTAGCGACGCTTACACTGACGGGTGGTTTTCTCTATTTGTGGAGCAAGTTCGACTTAGCCTAGAAGAAGTTTGCAAATGTTATGTTCGTGTTTACAGTTACATCACTAGGTCGAACCACCCAACCTATACACGAATACAAAAAAGAATTGAATTATTAAAATTTTGTGAAAGACAAGAAATGAAAGGCAGATATGAATTATTACCACACTAGACTGCCTTGACAACCAATCTACCGCACCACCACGCCTCTAATTACATGTCATACCATGATCAGTATTATATAATTTTAAAAAACAAGAAAATTAAGAACGTGTAACAAAATGCAAAGCGCAAACATAAAGAATTGCAAGTATGTAAACAAATTATTTTAATTAGTCAAATCACTTCTATATAAAGAAACCAAATTAAATTAAAAAAAAAAGACACAACAAAAAGCTCTCGTAAACCCTAGCAATGGCACCTTCAATAATAACTCTTATTGTTGCATTATTTGCATCTTTTCCGGCAATTTCTGGCTTTTATTCAGCTGCCATTAAGCCATGGTGTTCCCAAGCCCCATTCCCACTTGCATGTGAGTCTGTTGAGCAATTTTTGGAACATAACCCTATAAACATATTACCTATCATAGGAAAGTCCGATTTCTTTAAGGCCTCGTTGCAATTTGCCCTAGACAGTGCAATGCATGCCAAAGTTTACACGTATTCTCTAGGCATGCTAAGTCGTAACGCTAAGGAAAAGGCTGCATGGTCCGATTGTCTGGAGCTGTTAGAGGATACAATTGTTAAAATCAACATGACTCTTGATCCTAGTGCCAAGTGTTTATCAGACGACATTCAAACATGGCTAAGCACCGCCTTAACCAATTTCGAGACGTGCAAAAGTGGGTTTTTTGATTTCGCGGAAACCAATAATGTCTTGCCTTTAATTGTGTCTAGCAATGTTGCCGAGCTAATTAGTAACCTTCTATACTTAAATAAAGGGTCATATGGTGACCCGAGTTGTAAAGCAAGATTGCCAACTTGGGTGCCGCCATCACCTCAGCCCAATATCGTGGTGGCGCAGGATGGCTCTGGGAACTATATGACGGTGAATGAAGCCATTGCCGATGCTGGAAATCGAACGGGAAATGGAAGGTACGTGATATATGTGAAGCAAGGGACTTACGAGGAGAATGTTGATATTGGAACAGGTTTGAAGAATATAATGCTGATGGGGGATGGTATTGGGAAGACTATTATCACAGGGAGCAAGAGCGTCGGAGGATCAGGCACCACCACTTTCAAATCTGCCACAGTTGGCAAGTGAAAGATCTGATTAATATTTACATTATACAAATAATGATCCTAGTGTATCACAGAAACTAATGTTAATAATATATTTATGATTTTCAGCTGTTGTAGGAGATGGATTTATTGCTCGGGGCATAACATTTCGGAACACCGCTGGGCCCGAAAATTACCAGGCGGTGGCGCTCCGATCAGGATCCGATCTTTCAGTATTCTACCAGTGCAGTTTCGAGGGGTACCAAGACACTCTCTATGTCCATTCCCAGAGACAATTCTACAGAGAATGCGACATCTATGGAACAGTAGATTTTATTTTCGGCAATGCAGCAGTCGTGTTTCAAAATTGCAACATATACGCAAGAAACCCTCCAAGCAAAACCAACGCTTTAACTGCACAAGGCAGGACCGACTCGAACCAAAACACTGGCATCTCCATTCACAACTGCAGGGTTATGGCGGCTTCGGATTTGAAACCGGTTCAGAGCTCCGTGAGAACATATATGGGTCGACCCTGGCAGAAATATTCGCGTACAGTTTTCATGAAGACTTTCTTGGATGGTTTGATTGACCCAACAGGTTGGATGCCTTGGAGTGGAGATTTTGCTTTAGATACACTGTACTATGGTGAATACCAGAATACGGGCCCTGGATCCTCCACATCCGGGCGGGTTACATGGAAGGGCTATCGGGTTATCACCAACTCTACTGAAGCTTCAGAATTCACGGTTGCAAACTTCATTAATGGGAATTATTGGCTGCCAGCAACCAATGTGCCTTTTACTTCTGGTTTTTGAATTTTGTTTCTTGGACATTATTAATCAAGTTAATGTTTGTGGATTTATTGAGGTGGATAGAAAGAGGATTTGAAAGGGATTGAAAAAAGCAGTCCCTTTTCTGCTTAGTGCTAAAAATCGTTTACTGCTCGTATCTTAGTGCTAAAAATCGTTTACTACTCGTATTTATGTAATCCAATCATTCCGGCTAAATCTCCAAGTGTCAGGATTAAGGACTAAACATTTTGAAGTAATTTAATTCGAAGTTGCTCTTTTTTGTTAAATTCTTGTTACTGTGTTGATTGTTTATTGTGCAATTATTGCATTTTGATGCTCGATTAGGATTAGTAACATGTAGTGATTTATATTGTTTTCAAAATAGATTTTGTATAAATTAGCACATGACAATCAATAACATAGGGTCCTAATAGATAGAGATATACCATTATACTTCATGAAATCGTGAATGATGATCTGTGATTTAATGCATGTTTACACTCTAATAAGTTGTTAAGGTCCAAATCTCTAATTCGACCTACGTAGATCTATATAGTTGGGCAACAATTTTCTGACGCCATGAGTTCGAGGATTCGAAAATGTTGATTTCTCAGATTTGCAGAATGCAGATTTGGGGTGGGAGTGGTGGGGTGGAGAAGAAGAAGAATGTGGAATGGTTTTTTTAATTTTAATAATTTGATTTTGGTTATTTTATTATTAAAAAATGTAAAATTATCATGTTAACATTTTAAAATCAATCAACATTGTTGTCAAAGTCAAATAACGGTAAAACTAATAGAAATCATCCACTTGGATTTCAGCTGTGGACATTTTGAAAAGTTTGGTACCATTGGTGGCAAAAATGAAAGGTTTGGTACTACGAGTGACACAAATAAAAGGTTTGGGCAAAATCTATTACTAAATGAAAGGTTTGGTACCGCTGCTGCAATTATCTCATTAAATAATGATTTCTTGATTTCTTAAACCCCATTTACTGTATATTCAGCTTGAAAGTTAAATATTAACAAAGAAAATATTGCATATAGTATTACTTTTTAAGACAATTTATAGGGCTGAGTTTACAATGTGTTAATGGATAAATCTATATGTCCATAATTATTGTACATAATAGATTACATAGGCCCATGTGGAAGAAATTCGGTCCGTGGATCTGAAGTGTGGAAAAGTCAAAAATTATAGATTACCGATAGATGTGCTCTACATGTCAATTATGTAATGTATTATGTAAATGATTATGTACTTGTAGCATGGTCCTGTGCTAATACACAATGCCGATACAAGCTTATTATTGGTCCAGCCCAATTAGTATAACCATCGCAGATGACCCAGACATCAGCTTAGCAACCTCATCCTTGACCCAAATCCCACTCCTATCCCTCAGTCTGGCCCAATAATTGTAAGCCCATTATCTCCCTATCTTCTAATACCTTTTTGCTTGAGAAATTAATTTATATTTCTCTTATTTCTAATTTCAATTTCTATCACTCAATTCAGTTTTATTTAATATGCACTGTTTGGCAGAGAAAAGATTTAAATAAAAGTTAAAATAAAACGTGCTTGTTTGAAAATTTGCAGTTCACCCAGACAGATTTTGTATGGGAGTCTTCTAATTATTCAATATTCCATTACTAGAAAAGGGAAATGGTGCCTCAAGCTTGGTGACCGAATGGAGGCTAGGAGTGAGAATTTTTTATGTGTAATAAAAGGATGTAAATGCGTTGGGTGGAGCCCGCTCGCTAGCTGAAAATTGTGGCTCGGATGTGGTCAGACAGCTCAGACTTTTTTGGCCCTGAGCCGAGCTGAGCAAAACTCGGTTGAAAAATCAAGGCTCGGCTAGGGCTTTAAGCTATGGCCTTACCCAATCGGCTTGATTTTTTAAAATTAATTTTAAAAAAATTTGTTATAGTGGCAGGCCTGCCTAAAGTAGGCAACCAGTGACACGGACCTGCTTGGGCTTGGGCCATCGCTCAAAAATGAGCATCTGCTCGAGCTTTGGCTCTGTACAACCGAATCACTAGTCGGTTTGAGCTTTTTAGAGGCTGAATTGTGGGCTGCTCTTATCGACGAACCAAATTGGTATCCCTAGCATAATTAAAGAAATGGGGAAGCGGTGGGACAATAATTCAACTAGTCACTCTAAGAGAGAAAATTACCAAGTATAAACTCATGCAGAGACTTTGAATGCGTGTAGACATATTAGGATCAATCATGCTACATAAACATGCCCAAAAATAAGGGGACACATGTCGACACATGATGAGACAGTTTGAAAAAAAAAAACATTTAAACTAGTGTTGCCAAGTCAATCGTTCATCATTTTCCTGTCTTTTAACATGTTTAATCATCATTATTCTATTAGGATGGGTTTATAATTTCTTCCATTTGTATTTGAACAATGTCAGGTGTGTAGAATCTGTTTTACAAATCTTTTACATATACATATTTGGCGATTTTTGATTTGTCCATGGCAGAAAACAGATTGAATCAGCAGTCGTGCTACTTGTATTGAGGGGTGGTTTTGTTGACAATCTCTCACGTATGGGGGGTGGGTCACAGTGGGGCCCAGGGACGGACGCAAAAGTTTAAAGTTAGGGAGCACAATCGAGCTAGTAAAGAATTTGAGAGAAATTTTACAATCGAAAATTTACGTTCAAAAAAATATACCCCGTGTAATTTTGCATCCGAAAATTTACATAGGATATGACTTTTTCATATGTAAAATTTCGAAAAAAATTTATGTCATATTCCATATAAAATTTCCTAATAAAAGGATGAAAATTATATTGAGAAATTTGTATTGTAAAGATAATAAATGTTAATAAAATAATTGAATTTTTTTAAAGGAAATGCGAGTTAAACGTCTTTCTTTAAAACTTACGTTTAATGCATTTTTAACTATTTTCGATATCTGTTTAGATTATTTGATATGTCTATAATGTAGTTCTCGAAATAAGCATTGAGATGACATAGCAATTTGTAAATTCGATTAGCGTACGATCGTCGAAATTTTTTTAAAGTTAGCATATTATCAAAATTTTCAAAATACTAATTTTGAACGACTTATTTTGACAAGTCGTAGCATTTGCTACGATTGATCGTTTCGTATATCATTAACGATGTAGAAAACTAGATCGTGAACACTTCGAAATGGTATTAAGAATACAATATTTCGCCATTGTTTAATGGAAAGTTAAGATTTTGTCAAAATGCGAGAGAAAAAGAGAAAAATTAAAATTTATTGTGATTTTGCCCCTATTTGATGGAGATTGAAATCAAGTTTTTAGTAAATTTTGATAAACGTTAAATAGTTATAGATTTCATGAAATATATTATTAAAATTAACTGTTAACTTTAATTTAAATTAAAATTTATATTTCAATCGATACCGAACATCACTTTATATTAAAAAAAAACCTCAAAAGTTGGGGAAGGGGCACGTGCCCCCCAGGTTCGCCCATGCAAGTGAGGTACACAAGGACATGGAGACAAGGAAAGTGCTAGCAAACCTTACGCCTCTCTGAGTCTAAAA